ACGCGCGAAGGTGACGCACAGCCGTCGCAGCGTCGTTGCCGCTTGCGTGTGATTCACTGCTTCCCTGAGTCCCGGTCGGTTGTGGTTAGCTGAAGCAACAGGCGACAGGTCGCGGGTCACGTACGCACCATGACCTAACGGAGATATGTTATGGTAAATTCCGGGATGGTAAGTGGCTCCTTTCGCTTTCGGTGGCGCGTGCGGCGTGCGCTGCGCAACACTCAAGGTCGCGGGCCGTTCAACTCGGATGCGACCGCGCAGTTGCGACACCGAAATATGTAATTGTAGAGGAGTCGAGGCGCGTTTGGCAGCGGCCGCGGGCCGCAGCGCGCAACTGGGTCGCCGTCGGTTGCGCAACCGTTTTTCGTACGACAGATGGCGTGCGTCGCGTCTTCCTTATACGGCTACGGTAAACGTTGCGATTAAAAACAAAGAAATCCCTTTTTAGAACTAATCGCGTTTGTTCTGGATTTAGAATGAGCTGTAACCGCAAGAGCATTGTAATTGTAGCCGTGATCGCATAACCGAGTTATTTGGTTCCGTCGCTGGTTGCTTAGGATTTATTCGATGACGTCACGACGGCCTCAAGAACGAGCACAGAGAGAATTGAGACTAATTGAAATCCAATTGGGGAAAGGATAATGACAGGCCATGCTAATGTAATTAAAGACTTGCTGCTCCAGTCAGTCTGCCGAGCAAATTATGTCGTGTCGGATCCATTTATGTAGGTAGGTACAGATTCAATCAATAAATAAAATCATCTGATGATCCCATAAAATAAACGCAGTGCTTTTCATCCTGTCACCAGGTCTACGGGTAAATAAGAAGACCCGATGGTCATTTAGATCACTGCGTATACGTATAACTTTCCGCAATCCACAGCACTAGATACTTTAGTGTTATCATGGTATAAATTAATAAACTAATAGTTGCGCAACAGTCTGATTGAAAAATATAGGTACCAAATCAGCTGTAATGGGAATTACTAAGAAGTCAAAATAGAGTTTGGGGCTTTAGTGACTTTCTCATTTGCAACAGCTCTCATATTGAAACGGCGGCAGAGAGCGAGCTGTGACCGCGTGGTCGCGTGATGTAAGGTAGTAAATCCATTTTGGAAGTTTGCGAATGTCAATAATAACGTTCCGGTCCCCCCAGCGGTCGGCGAGGCGAAAATAGTCGCCAACTATTAATACGAGGCAAGCGCTAGCGCTGCACTGCCCTTGAAACGGGACGATCACCTCGCGCACACTCCCGCGCACGCCACACACCGACACGCGCCCATGTTAGACGCACACACGCGCGCCGCTTATCGCGATGCAGCGCGCTGCACAATACAGAGTACACACCGCGCCATCGTTTTAATTTCCATTTCGTTTGCAAATGTCACATTGACATCTCTATGTTTACTGTGCGGCCTGAGTGCTCGAATAGATCTCACTGCCGCCGCACTACTTGCAACTCCATTAACACAAACATAACGTTAATTACAATCTGCTTGATTTTATGGTGCTTCCATCGGCCATCGGAACGAGATAATAAACTGTTGATTAAACTGAGTTTTTATTATTATTGGTTTTAAGGAATCATTTTCACATTACATGTAGGTATGTTAACTTATCCTGTCCGTAGATCGTGATCTCGCAACCAATAAACGGATGTATAGATTGATAGCGTAGTGAGGCATGAGCACGACGCGTCCTAGATATGTAAGTTACGTATTTCATTTAGATTAAACTGATCTAGCTCGGGGTTCGTAACATTTGGTGAACTGTCAGTTTGTGATAGAGCTCCGAAACACCAGCACATATAATGCATTCCGGTGTCCGCGCAAGGATACCTGCAGAGGGCGCGCGTGCTACGCCGCCCGCATAATGTGACGCAACCAGCTCACACAACTGAATCGCATTCAAAAATCAACTCTCAATATTCGCACGCATACGAATACCAAGTTTCGTGCTACCTACATCAGAACAATTTGGCAATTGGCAACATCCAGCCAAGGTTTCTTTTGTTTTACTCAAGTTGATAGAACCGAATCTGTTCGATCCTTGTGTCGTTTGTGCATTGGACGGACAGCTAGGACAAGTTCAGGAACGCGTCTTACTAATTAGCAACGCAAGTTAGAATGTAACAAACATGGGAAGATTGTTATAATTTGCTTGCTGACATAAGTTGGAAAGCTACAAGTCAATGAGGTCCTAATTTGTGTGAGTTATACATATATTTGTAGAAACTGGTTGATTGAATTCGAACGCGGCCACATACTCACACAATCAGGTTTGGACTGCCCAATCCGAGTAGGAAGGTCGCGTTCGTTTCGCCAGAGGCTGACAATGGCGCCGGCACCGCCGCTCTTGCCCAATATTCGCGTTTGCAACACCGAAATTTCGTGTGTGCCGCATTACAGCAATGGCCGATTTACGGCTCACACCTACCTCTGGCCTGACACCACTACCGCAATACTACAGCGTGCCTTCAGGGGCCACTCGTGGTCTCCTGGTGTGACCAGGGCGCCGGAGGGCTCGTTGACTGACTCAGAACATGTGTTGCATAAGCACATAAGGTAAAATGAGACGTTGAATGTGCTCTTGAGGCCGGAGACTTCATTCATGGCTCGTTATCGCAGTTTATTGTAACAACAAATTAGTCAGTGTTAGGTAGGTATGTAGCTATATATGAGAATTTTCTTAGCGGTTTTGCCTGTTTTTCATAACGTTTATCCTCTTTACCACATTGCAGCGACACAACAATACGTACGTAAATAAACAGCTTGTGACGTTGTTTCTAAATAATTGTTACTTTAGTTTTCCTCCACGTTTGAAGATTCACTTGTCTATGTGTCTCTACATTCAATCGAAATTATAATTTTTGTTTCGATGCGGTTTCTTTTTCCATTTCTTTTTTCTGTTTTTTCGATTTCTGTGCAGTGCAGTCAATACGTATAAGGAGTGTGATAATTATAACTATAAGTAGATCCATGTGTAATTGTATATTGCTCATTTCCCTAAGCATCGCATTCGAGTTATCGTTAAAGCGTTGTGGCGGTTAACTGTGTCACGCCACTGTTAATTATCATATTGGTAGCTTCGGTTTGATACATCCGTTCACAAGACAAAGGATCCTAGTCGGGGAATTCGTTGTATACCTACAAGGCATTTTTAAAATGCGCCACAATCGAAAGTGGTCGCTTCGCATGCACCGGCAGTCGTCGGCGACGCGTCTCGCATACTGCGCGCCGGTACTCGGTACTATAGTTTTTTGCATCTTTATATTAGGAGCACTGACCTTGCGCAATGTCAAATAGCTGAGGACGGGCGTGGAGCGCCAACTCGCGATAAATGCCCGATGCAACGACATGCCAACTGGTTCCGTCCGTTCGTCAGTTGCTTCTTTCGTTTTTGTGTCATGGAAACCGGCATCTCTACACATCTCTACACATCTACCGATTATAAACATTCATATTTCTCGGAACGGCTCCTAGCTCTGCAGAGGAAGTGGCTTGTCGCTGTCGCTGCCAGTGCTCATGTTGCCGTGCTCGGCGTGCACTGAGCGTGCCTCTCCTACAGCTCAATGTATTACAATATCCGCGAAAACAAATAGCTATGACTAACCGTACTTCCCGTGTTTTTGTGTCGTGATTTAATGCAGTTTCAAGTTTATTCGTATTTGTTCTATTTTATAATTTATATGTTTGACGCCGCAGTTGGTCCCTTATAAAACGACGAAAGAGTTTAGCGCCCGCAGGAAAGCCTGTAATTAATCGCTTTGTTTTTTCCAAAACGACCACCTTACAAAGTATTTCTTTTGTTTTTCTTGAAAATTGAAACAATTACGAGAGTGAATTATTGGCGGACATAAAAATAATATGTGCATTTAACGATACACTTCAAAGTTTGTAAAGAAGGCCAGTTGGCCACCGGCCAGGGTGCACTACTCACGCCCCCGGAAGTGGTGAGATAAAGCTGTACACCTCACACCTACGTGTGTGTATGTATGTACATACGTACACAGTATGCGCTGTACTGTGGTGTGCACACACAGACGCTACATGACACCAGCGCCTAATTTGTCATATGATTAGATACAATTGCTGTTCTCAATTCTTATTACAATTTTGTAATTAATACTTTAATCAGTTAATCATGTTATGTTGTTGCAATCTATAAAGAAAGAATATGCGTCCCTTCCCACCAATGTATGGAGTTAGTGAAATCGTTCGGTAGTAGAGCGCAACAATTGGTAAACATGGTTCCTGAATCAAACATAGTAAACAAAGTTGCGGTAATATTATTCAATGAATTGCCTACGACACAATTCCGAGAAGTTCATACTTGTTCATTTATTTGTAGGTATTGCTGCTCTATATATAAAACGTGTATTCTGGTTAAACGATAAACAATAACCACTATTATTGTATTTCTTTGCAATTGGATGAACATGTCGCCTAACGCTGTTTATGTAAAGTCTCCTCTCCTGAATTAGTTGACAATGTCTGAAGTATTTTAAGAATTGCACTCATAACACATTTATAAAATAGACAAATGTTTTGATAGTCATCGCAAAATTTATAAAAAGTGTCAAAACTATTAGATCGCGCTTCCCCCGAATTCCCTGCGCGTACGCAGCTCGTAAGGTGACCTTCCGGGAGGGGCGTTCACCGTGCGGTCACCTACAGCCGCAGCGCGCGCTGCGCTACATCGCGCGCTGCACACTAGGTGTTCTCTATTTTTAATAACAAACTGCTTCTTTGCATGTTCTCAAGTTCGACACTCATTGTGGATGTGACTACACTTTATAAATATTTAGCACGACCGGCGCTTCCTTTTATTTTATTGCACAAATGTCTTTGATTTGTAATATTCATTTAAACTATTGATTTTACCTATATATAGACGTGGCAATATTTTATTGTTAAGCCTTCGAGGTACCTACTGTTTAGTTATAATACAATGATTATGGTACAAATGAGTTAGTGTATGAGGTATTGTAGTATGACGTACCTGGTGGTCTGGGGTGTGCGGTGGCGTGGTGTTGCAGCGTGTTGGCGATCTGGTGGTGCTGGTAGAAGGGCAGGAATGGCGCGTGGAAGGGCGCGGGAGGGGGCGGCTGCAGGCGGGCTTTCAGCTCTTCGGCGGAGCCGGCGCCCGACGAGGACGACTCCACGTCAGACACGCCGCTATCTGCCGGCGAGGGGGGGAGGGAACCTGCGAAGAAATACAGCAATCACTCACAATGTAACAACCATACATGATCAAAGTAAGCTAGACTCAAGAAATGCCTGTCTTCGTCAATCCTCTGAACAAATAGAGCTCAGATTGGTACACCACACAGTAGGTCGTGTGAACCTTGTCCGCAGGTTGCGCAACATATCTGATAAAGTATAATTCATCTCGAGGGATGCATAGCCGTTATTAAATTACATTCCTAAAGGACCATCATCCTATTATACTAACGGTCACCTGACTTGCATATATTTGCATCTTGCAACCCTGCAAATGCAATTAATTCCACGGGGTCTTTGAGGCCCAACGGTCACTTTATGAGATTAACCGTTAGAGGCAAATTTCTCAGATGCATTTGCGTCCACCTGTTTGTTGTGAGAATGGTCAGCGCTGGGATCGTCGCGAACCCGTCGGCCGCCGCCGTGTTTAGATAACTTACAATTATGCACATTTTTTACTATTAAGCTGCACAATAGGTGAAGGGGTCGGTTTTTTTGCATTTCTAATGCGAAGTTGTTTTGGTTTACAAAAGGGTAATTTATGGCTTTATGGTGATGCAGTTTGCTGTTCTGGGATGTTTTCTTGTAATTATTTCTTTTGCATAATTTTAACTTCTTCCATTCGTGTCTTGAATCTGAACAATAGTCGGTCAGTTTGACCGTTACTCAAGTTGCATTTTGATTAATCAAGTTTGTGAATATGGTTGTAGATTTGAGTGGAACTTTTATAAGATGCATTATTACATTGCAGAAAAAAAGCGAAGAGAATTACTTTGTGGATGGAAGTAGTGTAAACAAGAGTGCTTTCACGTCAGGGATCATTCTCCTACAATAGTAAAAGTTGAAAAAAAAACTTAATCTGTGCATCGAGTCGCGCTAGTAGTGCAGTAGTCGAAGGGACAAACTTTCTCATGTCCGGGTCCCTAAAGGTTGACGTGTAACGGTTGTCCGGTATTTAAATAATATAATCAACGAACAAGTAATAGTAGAAAGCTGTTTATTCATATTTCCTCGTCCATTGAAACTATGACTGGTATAAAGTGACCATTTGACCGGTGCACGCCGGCCGCTGTCCACACCCCTTTGTGTCCATTGTTAACCCTTCAATGGTTGGTACAATGCATGGGAATCGGGAAGCGGCGATCGCGAGGGCTCGGTCACTATGACCATTTAAATTGAGACTACCTTCAAATACGATGAGACGACTGAAACCAGTTTTGGCGTTTGATTTTATTTGTCTTTCATTTATTTGTTAATCAGTACCTACTGTATAGTAATGGGTAGAAGTTTGTGGTTTCAGCCCGCGGGTACACAGCTCGCCTAATCACCGGTGTTTGTTATCTAATTTTAAATATAAAGGGAAAATGCAGCAAGCTTATTTAACTCGTCGAGTACCGGTTTTATAGACACAATTAAAGAACAATAGGTCGCGGTCACCGGTGACCGCTCGGTGTTTGACAGATTAAATACCTATATCCTACTAAATATTTATTTAATTAACTACCTTATCTATTTTGGCCCTCAAAAACAGGTAAAATGTGATATATGTTTATACCAACCGGTGCCCATGGTTCTCTATTTAAACAAAATATTATTTTGCATAACGTACGTGTAGCTACTGTACGTGTAGATACTGCGATTTTAATTAATCCGGTGGGCCGTACGTCCGCGCTCCGGACTGGAAGTTCCCAAGCTTAAACAAAAAGCATTTGGCACCCCAATCCGGTTGACACGTCGCATCGGACACACGAGTGACCAACGGCCATATATGGAACACGGAATACGAGCTCATTGTGTTAACCCTTTCATCTCCCGTATCAAAATAATAATAAATTAACTATAAATAATGAGCGTGGCCTTATAGACCGGGGGTCGCGATTGTCCCGGATCTGGTCTACCGGTCAGCGAGGAATGTGGTCCCATTAGTAAAATATCACAATGATGACCCTTCCTTAATCGGGCCATCTTTATGGAGTGACCGCTCTTCATGCTCCTTTGTGCACGCTGGCGTTAGACCATAATCCGCCAAGTCCTGTCTTAGATGTCGCCATTTTTTGCATATGAATAATATTGTGTGGTAAATATATATTGTTATGTAACGGATCGCCACTAACGACCCATGTATGGCTCCGATACACGTGGCGTGCGAGGTGGTATTTCCCTGGCGCTGATATTTTCGTGAGTTATGGACGCTCAAGTCCTCTGACTGCTAGAACTACAATGGTTACATCATGATTCAATATGAACTATTGTTCACAATCATTCATTGTTTTCTTCAAATAATCTTAACGATAACTTCGGATACATAATGAGAAAGTGACGTTTGCATTGATTTTATATGTGTTTACTTAATACAAAATATAATTAGAATCGCCTTTTATTTAATTCAATTAGTGAATTGAAATTCAGTGTAAATGTATCTTTCTAGTTGACGTGTATTCCAAGTACATTCATTAAACCCGTCCCCTAAAATATTATTAATAAAGAAACTTGTGATCACACAGAGTATCTCTTGGTGTCCTTTGTAAGCGTCCATTGTCACTGGTCTCCTTTAAGATGGTAATTCAGCTTAGAATAACATCGCAATGGCGTTACATAGTTTATACCAGTTACTAGCACTCCACATAGTCGTGTATATAAGCTTAGGTACACGAGCACCGAGGTGCCTGGCAGATACGACCAGATACCGGTCGGAAACGATACAATATCTCGTCGGTCATGCGAAATTAGCAATACTCGTAGGTACCAGATATATTGTAATCTAAGTTCAGGAAAAGAGTGATTAGTTTCTATTTATCTTTTCTTCTTATCAGGCATATTACGTGAAATCAAGAAATAATACTGGTATCTTAATTATGTAGATAAATGGAGGAAATCGTAAAGTGCGGCACGTAGCAAGGTGCTATGAACTCGTCGCACATAAGCAGATGACGACAATAGGCGCACATCCTTTGTCGTATGCAAGCCATTATAATTAACCCTTACAATATTCGTCGATTGCAAATCGAGTCCACACACAATACTGACACCGACAATGGGTTGCGTTCGCGCACCCACGCGTGACATTCTAATTTCAAAGTGTCAATAGCTCCGGAAAGCCGCTATGGGGCAAAATGAAAAGATGAAAGAGATGAAACTATGAGTTAAAATGAGACAGCATATGAGATTAGCGACTATTGTGATGGATGACGCTGCGATTTCGCAGTGCAAGGTGCAATGTAACCCATTTTTGCGTAAAACTTGGCATTTTGGAAATGTGACAGTGAGTGGCGCAATGTGTGCAACCATCTGCCTGCTCCATTGTTTGCTTAGGATGTTGCATGTTTGGATAGACGGGTCTCAGTGACCCACTGGCGGCTTTGTAAGGGTTGAGCTTTCAAAGTTGCCGATTTTAGGATTTCATATTTTTTTGTTTAAATATGATATTCAGTTCAAGCACATGTGAGTTTATAATGTGCAAATAACTTGTGTCCGAGCTTGCATTCTGAACACATAATAAAACGATTATTCATATCTCCCCAAATCGGCGGAGCTGCATGCAGCATACAAAATTGTGAGTTGGGTCCAAAAATAAATATTGTGCATATTGTGTAACAGAAAGTGACCGAATCATGACATAATCCATCAAATACTCTGCGCGTTGTGTAATTACAGTCCTTTGAGTAACCCTTTCAATAAATATTATTTATTGTTCGCGACACAATCCACCCGCACGCATTGGGGGGTTAAGTGCACATTTTGGGTCAAATGTGTCCATGAGAGTTGGCCATCTGCGCTGAATGACGCAAGAAGGGGTGGACAGAGAGCGAAAGTTGTTTACACAAGGTGGCAACAATTTGGGAGATATTTCAATATCACAATACTCCCTGGATTTATATTACACATTTATAACGACGGCCAATGTTTTTGATTTGGATTTCGTTTTAATTGTCTCGTTATAACAAAAGTTTGTTAGTTTTCTAACTGGGTCAGACATTTTTTGACCTGGGTAAAGCAATCAGACATTAATTAAAAAACTTATTGGACTAACGTCAACATTGGTAAATATCAGTCAGTATTTAGACAAGTTTTTTATTCGAAAGCTTTGAATTTTATAATAAGTTTGTTGCTTTGGACTAGCCAAGAGTTCAGTAAAAGAGTTTACAGGCTTGTAAGGAGCGTCGGTAATTGTGTGTGTGTATCAATTAGCCGAGTCAGTAGGCAGTGGAGTGTGTGCACCCCAGACGTGGTACAGCCGAGTAATTGTTTGCGAAGTGTCTCCAGAGAGTCACGTCTGTCGCTAGCGTCTGTTGCGGAGTAATGGCGGCGGCGCGGTGTGTGCGTGTGTGCGTACGGGCGGCGCGCGGTGCGTGTGTGCGTGGGGGCAGGGCGGGCGTCTCGCCGCGCGCTCGGTCGTGACATTGGGCGGGCGGATCAGCTGACGCGTCTATCGATTGCCGGCCGCCACTTCCTCTTTGTTCTTTATGAATTTTTCATGGAACAGCCTGACTGTCGGCGATCGTAAGTTTTGTTATGACGCCCGCTCCCTTGACACTATTTCATACTTATATTTTACTTTTGTTTGAGAACTTTTCATATTTGCATAGTAATTTATTGTCTTGACGATATTCATGCTTTTTTGGATTTACTTACTGAACAAAGAACTGAACAAAGTTGTCGTTTGTATGGTTTGTTGTCTCTGATGTATGTATTATGCGGATTATGCTGATATTATGTTAGTTCTAGGAGTTAATAAGTAAGCAGCCGTAAGTATTAGCTCGGTACATAAGCTGCGGAGGCTGGTGTCAGGCGGAGCGTGCAGTAGGGAGGCCTGGCGTGTGCCTACATGTGCCTATATATATACATGTGTAGTGCCTACAGAGTCTGTTCGGCTTAACACAGGCTCAGCTTTCAGCGCAGACGGCCTACTCGTCCTAAACAGAATTCTTGAACAGTCTACATAAGAGATGTTAGGCAAATAAATGAAATGTATTTCGCGAGGTTTGTGCGGCGTATTTAGCAGTCTAGTGTCTGAAGTATTAGTAACGATACCGTTCACACGCCGGCGTGTGTTGGGGAAGGTGCCGAAATGACGACGCTCTTAACGATATTTTCAATATTCGACATTATAATGCGTAAAGGACTATAATAAGCCCATAGGAAAACGGTTGACGCTTTCTAGCTTTATTATAACCCTAATGCATGTGACGCATGTATTATTTACAGTTAGTTCTATTTATAAGAGCTGCTACATGATAAAAGGCTCAGTTTGGTTTCCACATGACATATTCCTAGTGTATTATGGAATGATATGTCAACAGGAAATAACAATTGTATTTCCTGTATTTGCAGACTGAAAATATTTTTAGGTCACCCACATTACTTGGTGTCGCATAAATATACATTTTGTACAATTACAAGCATGTCATAAATAAGCGCAGATTTTTTAGGTCGTTTGAAGTAAGATTTGAGGTTTGTAAATAATAATAAAAACACTTTAAGAATACCAGAAACCTATCTGGGAGCACGTCACGATAGGATTACAGTCGCAGCGATTAGATTACGCTGCCAGACCGGTCGCATCATCCAATACGTTATTGATAAAACGACAAAATAACTGCAAGTGGCCATTTTATTGTGACATAACGCCTATGACTAGATTATTTAGGAGATATTAAAGTTTACAGCATGGGCGGACCATTTATTCACTCCAGCTTTTGTAAGAAAGTAATTAAATTAAGTGTGTTGTGGGAAATTGAAATGACTTTCATATGACATAATACCGGCTGATAGGGCGCTGGTCCGCTCCGGAAATTACCTCCCGACTCTACAGTATTGTCCCTCAGATATCTGTGCAAATGTAAGTACACTACACACCGCACTATAAAGTATACAACGTGTGTAACAAGTCAACAAGACGACTACATGTTCTTTGTTCATTATTTATTTTTAATCATATCAAAATATGACAGTATGTCACAAACGAGATTCAATTGGCTGATTAACAACTGGTTATAGTACACGAATGGCCATTAGGTAATAATTATCAGTAATATCCATGCTTATTTTAGTAAAAGAATTGCGGAATGACAAGTTAGTGCAAAAAAAATTGTCGCGAAATAAAATGTTATCGCGAGTTGGCGGTCGTGGCGACCTCTGAGCCCGGGTGCCTACACTACCTACTGATGTTTAATATCCAATGTAGCAGTCTGTAATTTCCGTTGTGAACCAATATAAGATGTACGTACCTCGGTAGGAAATGTCGAAATATGTACGTAACACTCGAAATGTTGGTAATTACCGAGCTCCCTGCAGCCGCCAGATTCTTTTGAAATGTTCATAATTTCTTTCTTTGTTACATTCGTTTATCGCATGTAGGTACTGCTCCTCACTAGCAATGTGCTAAAGATGTATTTCATACTTGATACGTTCAATGTTCAGGTGTAATATCTAATTCTAAATATAGCTATCTAGCCAGGACGTTACTTTGTATGGCACGATAAGATTTCGTTTTGTCTTTTCCTGCTTCGTGACTAATTTTGGCTTTAAACTTAGATTTTGTACACGTTTAGAGTTAATGACCATGTTTTATGTAATTAATCAAAAACAATATTTTCCTTCAACGTATTAAATGCATTACTTAAATAAGGATTCATTATCCTAGTTCTCACAAAGGCTTTTAAGTATATTAACGAAGCAGTAGGAAATTTACCTGTGTTAGGGGCTGTGTAGAGGTGATGCCTGGCGGTGGGGCCCGGGGCCAGCAGCAGCAGGGCCCGGCTGAGCGAGCTGCGGGTGCTGAGCGGCAGGCCGGCCGGCTCGCCGTCCACTGCAACAACGATACACACATGTTAAACACACACGTCAACAACTACTACAACACTACATCAAAATACAGGTTCTCTATTTAGCAAGCAAAGACAGGTAAACGTAAAACAAAGAGTAAAGTGAACTCCCCTAGCATGAGTCATTCAGATGAGCTAAGCATTGATCAATCTATAGATACGCAATTATTTCATTTTACCTAGCGGACGACTTTCCTTCGTCTCTGATTCATACACCGCCGACGTCAGTGCAGACAACCCCCAACTTGGGATATAAAAGTAAAACATTTTCAAGTGTAAAGTGCGCGGGCCGGCTCGAGACAGCTCTGACGCTAAAGGGTTTTAGTGTTTAACGTCTAGAAAAGACAACTTGGAAGCTCGTTTATCAAAATTTCTTCAGGTAAAACTTGTGGACGGTACCCTGGGGAGGTCGCGCGCGCTGTCGACTGTTCTAGAAGCTGGTACGCAGGCAGTGGCTCCGCAACCCTTTGTTACAAACTGTTCATCACTTATGTATGTGGAATAATGTCGAGTGTGCGTGAGCCCTGCTAGCCTTCACAGAAACGATTTATAGACCAGATTTCTTAAAACAAGCCGCGGATTTTTTGTTAGATGAGCTACTTTCATAAATTTATAGCTTGTTGTAACTTCACTTATTGTACTGCTGGGTAATGTAGGTTGTATCGTAAAAATACAAGAAGTAATAAAATGGATCGATTGATTAACATAATTCAATTCTGTTTACAACGTAGATCAATGATCAGATACCGCCGCTGAGTGTCAGTAATTCAATTAGTTTACTGTATACTCTGTACTGTGGCTCTAAATGCCAACAAATGGTTTGTGACTTACAGGAGACATAAAACTATCGCGGCAGTTACACATTTTATTGAATGGTCTGATGACACGTTTTGTTAATGTATATACGTGTATGTCACGACTGTATCGCATATTTAACAGCTGGATACTCAAGTATAGATCAGGTAACTAACAAGTCAGAAGAGCTTCCCAATGCTTAAGAATAATTCAATATCGAGTTACATCCGAACTTTAGATCATTAAAGAGTACTCGAGAAGTTTCGGGAGGTCGCATGTTCCAGGGAAATTACCGCAAAATCGATATAACATTGTATATAATCTGGCTACATCCGAGCCAGACGCTTCCGTGCGCCGACCTTGGGCCCCCGCAACCCCCTAAATTATTCACGGACCCACCTGTTGTCTCGTTCTACCCCCGGCGAGCACTGCGCATGTTTGACGCATAGAGTGGGACGGATGAAAGCTTTCCCTTTCGTTTTTCAGGTCGAAGTGTCTAGACGGAATTTGAACTCTTTACAGCCCGGGCACATGTGAGCCGGTGTGTGATAGCAGCTATCAGGAGAATGCAAATGTGCCAGCTCGGCAGCCGGCAGTCACGCGACGCCAGCCGCCGCCCGCCACACTGCATGCTGCCGGCTGCCGGCTACTCACGAGCCCCTTCACTATTTGCTACTTAGGGCTCCTACAGTTTAAGTTTTAAGTATTTGAGGAGCACCATTAAATGTCACAGCATGATGTAATTGTATCACCGGAGGTGATGTAATGTGGCGTAGTCTTATTTGCAACACAATTATCTACATAACTATGTATTTATGTCCGGTCAGAATGCTTACTTACGCTACAGTAATATATGACACCTTAGTTCATATAGTTATCTAGTCTGCATACTGCAAGTAATATTACGTAGTGGAGTACAGCAGTGCTTCCATTGCATATATTCGTATAATGAACACGCGGGCGGTTTGTTTTCCTCACGAAACAGATTGATCAAATTGCAAGTGAAATTCAAAACAAATGCATTGGAAATAGTTTCAAATGACTGGGTGTTGGCGGCGGAATGGGGACAAAGCTCTGAGTGGATTAGACGCCGGCTTTGTGGGGGGTTAACATCTCGCAGCATTAACTGAGCGAGGTGCTCTGAATACATACTGGATCTACATCTCGTACTTTGCGATATGTACAAGTATTACGTGATTATGTATATGTGGAAGGTTCCTGAACACAATATCGGGAGCGACATAAAAACAGAATAAATGTCAGTCGTTATCGAAGGAGATAACAATAAAAACAGTATTCAAAACAGTGCCGTGTTGATAGCCGGACTAACAGAGCATACAAATACAACTACGTGGGACTCTATCGGCGAGGATTCAATTAAATTGGCAGCATCGCGACGACTGGGGATGAAGCTCGGCCCGGCCCGGACGTGTCGCCCGCGCTGGCACCCTGCATTATTCAGTGCGGGGGCAGGCGCTGCATACCTACTTCAGCCATTCAGACTGCAGGGTCAGTGACCCCACTGCTCGGCAGAACAAACAAAAATACAGTATACCAGAAGTAGGGCGCGCTGAAGCCATACTCCCACGTCCCAGCTCCCGGCCTATTAACTCTACCGAGCTCCTACAATCACTTATTTTTAACCAGCGCTCAACTAAGTTTCCGAAGCCTTCTTGTTTCAGTTCGCCCCTTGTAATTTTCATCTAAATTTCAAAATTTCCTCACTCGTAGAGAACGTGACTTGCTACAACTGTTCAGTGATAGTCAACAAAGTGTTTATTGCGAATATTTGTAGAACATTAAGCGATTATCTCGGATTAAGTTGTGAGAGATCCACAGATAGACGGGCGAGCGATGACGTCACTCAGCGTCCGCCCTACGATTATAAAGGATCCACTTCCTTCAATTTCCCACGGCAATTTCCGAAATTGAATAGCACATATTTGTTCAGCTAATATTGAATATATATAAATAATTAATGTTTAATCAACGGCAGATGTTGTCGAGTTTTCTCTCAATAAAGTAATCAATAGCAATGTTCAGTAAGTGATGTAGTGCGTACAGCGCATAGTACAGCGGGACACTGACAGCGCCGCGCACCGTCCACTCAATAAATTACAATTTGGGTACCAACCGGCCAGTCCGTGTCTAGGCTGCCCAGAATAAGAAATAGCCTAAATAAAACCTAACTTTTGCTACGTCTCACATTTCGGATACTAAAACACACTGGACGTTTATAAAACAATCATTTTTTCATTCATTGGATATTTTTTATTCTCTCATACTAGAGAAATTTAAATTAAATTTTGAAAAAAGAAAAAAGAGCGCGATCTACGTTTACCCAGCGAACCAAACAGACGAGCTTGCGTTGTAATGTATCGTACACACAGCACAGACTGTACAAGATGTAAACATTCAAAGAGAATGCTGCGAACCTCTGTCTGCTGCAAACCTTCCTTTGTGTTTAATCATAAAATGTTAAAACAAAATATTATACATGTAGCGGGTGGGGTCAAAAACACGAGCTTCCTACAGAACGACGGAGCTAAAGGGAACGTTGCACCGGAGCAACACATAGCGAGCATATTTCGCGTGTAGCTCCAGCTCGAATAATAGAGGTGCTGGGGCGCACACCCCGTGCATTCACCTGCAGCCCCCGCCCCCAGCTCCCAGCCCCCAGCAGGGGACGCCGGCAGGGGGCGCTGCATAACTTATGCAAGTTTGTTAATATTTCAGCGCAGCAGGAAAGTAAAAGTTGTGCTCAGTTGGATTAAACTGAACTTGTATGTTGTCTCTATGAATAGGGAAACGTCCGCTGCGGTGTTGCTAATTAGACGCGCTAATTTGTTGGAATTACTTCACTTGTGTGCTTGCAAACTGAACAGTTGGAGCTGGCGGGACGACGCACAATTTTCAGATTTGTTCGTGGAATTATTTCTAATTGCTTTTTTCTCCTACGACAGCTAAGGCGAAGCGGAAAGATTGGCGGTGGATACAAAGCGATTTTCCTTTACTCTTTCTTTCTTCTAGCCGTTTGCAGCGACTGTATCTCAGTACATAATGAAGCAGTGCGAAATGTGAAGCCTGTTTAAAGCATTCTTTAATCATTTTAATATTAGACAGGCGTATAAAATCATTTGCGCTTCTCATAAAATGTGTCGCGAGCGCGAAAGTTCAAAGCGCATATTTCTTAAATTAACGTAAATCGTCGGTTTTAATTATTTCCTGTCGCTTTTTAAAAAATATACGAAAATTTCTGTAAGTGTTTGTGCAAGTGGTATTTCTTTGTTTCGATTTAAAAATACAATCGCTAAAATTATAATTATTGTATGTGCAGTTGTTGGGAGCCAAGTGACATGACGCGGTGGAAGCCAAATGTGCTGGTGGAGTCACGGACTTCACACGATCCTGCCGCGGCGATGTTTAGACTGTTGTATTTGTCCAGAGTATGGTTGCATTCTCGGCGCATCGTTCGCAGTTCTTGTTAAGTCGATCCGGATTTCCCGTGGCCTTTTCCCCGCGATCCTCGGAGTTGCCGTAACGAGCGGTGTAATGGCGGCCTGCCAGTCGCCGGTAAGCTCTCGAGCTCACCGGTAATCTGACTTACCACTGCATTATTGAAACTTATGTCTATAATCTTGTAGAATCAACTTATTTTCCTTTACTCTTGAGAATAATGTTCGGAGTTTAATCATTTGTTTTACTTTATAGAGTATCGAATAATGTTGCATGATTTTCAAGTAGACCGTGCATTACTTAGTACAGAGTGCTGAACATTATACATTGGTTCTATATGGTCATCGGCAGGGAAGTGGCCGATAGCACAATAATAAAATTAACTACACGTGGTGCGGGTGACGTCAACCGTAATGAATTCAATGCCCTCCAAGTTACAAGTGATTAGCGATCTGATGCACCATATTTTATGGAGATGGAATATTAAGAATATTACTGTTAGGAATGAAATGAATTTTGTTGTTACGATGAGGTTGATGAGAAGTTAGTAGTGGTATTAAGAGATGCTAAATGGTGCCTTAAATAGTAAAGTTATTAGTTAATTAATAAACTTATATATAATAGGATTACACACTTTCTGCGGTTTGGAAGTTACGTTAAAATCATTCAATCTCTATTAGAATACCTTATTATTATGAAGTTTGACAGATATAGCGCGAGAAATTCCCATGAC